GTATTGCATTTCTTTAATTTGAAAGGTATTTCTTGTATATAATATTATCATATATGGGAAATCGCCTAGTTCCTCTCGTTGTGTTGTTATAATAATGAGCAAATGATTTTTTCTTTGTCTACTAATGTAGTCCCGTTTGTCAGTGAGTTCAGTCAATCTGTCTAACGTCAGATTCGAGTTTCACTTATTATCGTACGGCGGCGATTTGCATAAGAATAACAAGGAGGATTATTGATGTAGGTACCTCCCGCCCTGCAACCACCGCTCAAGAGCATCGGAGGGTGGAGACAATGGAGTTACTTCTTACGTTTGTTATGTGACTCAGTGAGTTAATAACTGTTATTAATTATAACAAAGAACAAATATCTTATATTGAATTAATTTATATCGTTTTATCCATTGGAATTACGAATTGGAAAGGATATATCGATTTTTTTTAAGCAATAAGTATAATGTTTGTTTATACGTATACGCTGTCGCTTGTGTTTTGCGCCAGCCGTAATCTTAATTTTGTTCTCTTTTCATGTTTGCTCTGTATACATTCTCTCTAAAATGGAATAATTTTCTGTAACGCACCATCGACGTGAGCTGATGCTCGTTCCTCCATCGATATTGTATGCAAATAAGACTTGCTAGTTAGAACAAAATGTAGACCTTTTACAATTACAAATAAATCAGTATAAAACCATCGCCGGGTCTAGAGAAATATTAGTTTGTGCATATAAAATATTATAAGTCTAATATTTAAGAACTAATGTTTCAATATAAATTAAAATGCTTTGAATGTTTTTAATTAACATGATTCATATTTTGTGAACAGTAAACGTTGTCTCAACAATTTAATCAACTTCCTCAACAATAACAAGGGTCAAGCTTAAGTAATTTAAGTGTAAAGTTCGTAGCTGGAAGTTGTAGCACCTTTAACGGGAGGCTAATGCAATTAACAGCCTTGCTAGCAGGCGGCGATAGTAACTTTAACATTTCTGTTACAGCCAGGGCTATCATCCGTGTTACAATGAGGAACATATTAAAGTATACATATATAAGTATTATTTTATAAAGGAACATAAGTAAAATAAGCCAGGCTATATGTTGGAGTTATATGAAATCCATCGATAAATAACCAAACGTTCCGACATCGACCTCAATCGGTCACTAAACTAACTCTGACTGCTTCAAATTAACCTTAAATAAACGAACGGAAACAGCGGCACATTCCCACGATTAAAATTCCGGATTCCCTTTTTGCGGAGGTGTTCACAATGAAAGCCTGAATCACGGGCCGCAGTGCGAGGCCCGCACGGACTTAATTCAATCATGATAACTGCGGCGGGTCGCGGGCTACAAATAAATTGACCGATGACCGCCCTCACCTCAGGGATGGTCCTCGCATAACATAATACACGACTTGGACGACTACTACACGTCACTGAACATACTGCCCTTTACAATGATTTATTTACTATGAGCTAGTCGTTTGTCAAACTTTTTGTATTATCTTCTTGATGACTTGACTAGACTTAATGTTTTAACTATTTATTACATTTAATTGATTCGCATACATTTTAAGTTCATTTGTTAAGTTTCCATCTTGATATTGTCTCAGGTTTCGTATATTGGTTAAATGTTTAAACTATATGAAGGGTGCCAACCCTACCGTTAAGGAAAGGGCTGTACCTGGCGGAGTGCTATTCAGGGGCGACCTTGCAGCACCAGATAACAATTGAGAGTCGCCGCAAATTCAATATCCCGAGGTGTCGCCGCCTGCGACCATCTCGCCCCCCCCAGCGCCACTAGGAGCCCCCCCACACTACCTCACACCTCGCGTCCAGCGTCCACTCGAACACTCGGCCCCTGTCCAATGTTAGAGGGGATATAACCACTTAACGTGAACTGAAGTCTAGCTTCAATTGAATTTGGCTACCTACTGTCGCCAGTGTTCAAAATATAATTGAATTTAGCAACGTCCGAATTATCTCACACACCGTTACACTTACTGTTTACCTACAAAATTGATTTCTTGTTTGAACAAAAATAAAAACTTTAAGTATAAAAATTGCTTGTTTATAATTCAGGCAATATTGAATTTGTAAGCAGTAAACTTGTCATAATTGTTTAGACGTTAATAACACATTGTAAATCTAGAGAAAACTATGTTAAATTACCGGAGACTTTGAAGAATCTAATGAATAAATGTATGTAGGGGCAGGTACCGTGCTTTATCAGTTGGTTTGTAATATATTTGAAGTGTAGTCCGTTGGTCCGTCGGTCCGTCGGTCCCGCCGTGGCCCGGTGGACCGGCCGCGGCATATTAAACGACGATTAACCCACCGGCCGCCCGCTCTGATTTATGTGAACTATTAAAATCTACGAAGGCAGTGAATTAATTGCGCTACTTCAGTGTTGGCTGCTTTATTAATTGGGAGCGAGTCGCCTGTTGTTTATGGACATTTCCCTTTCCTTGGTGCCCTTATCTTGACCCGGTCCGATCCAATTTGTTCGCTCACGTTCTGTTAAATCTCGATAGCTATTAAACCCCACCTCGGGATGAGCCTCACTATGGACCTGATCGATACGCGAGCTTATTCTGATTACAATGAACGTGTCAAGGAAACCGGTGATTAAAATTCAAAAACCTTGTTACCGGGACCTGCGGGCGGCTTTATAACTCGGCCGAGAGAAAATTATGTGCGTAGATGGACGGCGGACGTCAGAACTCGCTGGAAGTTTGGACATTTACATTTAAATGTGGACGAGAGAAAATATCACGGAGCGACGTGCGGGAGGAATTATGAAGTACAATTAGAGAATGTGTTGTGATGGTCCGTGTAATACGAGTACATTAACGTTCGGTACAATTATTATTATGTTTTTATAACTTTGGATGTTATTTGTTTGATTCATTCTAATATTGTATGTTCTAATATACCCACAGAATAATATTTAATAAATAACTGTAGTGAATATCGTATGTTCGTACACTCTATAACAAAGCTATGTATGTAAGTCCAACCCTTATCAAAATAGGTGTTGATGAGAAATTCGCAGCACCTGTGTCGCCCACACGCATTTATCTCTGAACGCGGGGTCCTCTCTAACTAAACTACGTGTGCTATACATGTAGTGTGTGTGTTTGAACTGTAATAAACATCAAATCCGTAGTAAAGTCCATATCGAGTGATACCTCAGATAAGGCGGCTGGTCCCCGGAGCGATCTCACCACGCCTGAAGCAGAACCCTCGATAGATCGCTCTCATAAAACCTCAGCTATTTAGATCATCTTAGCGGTTTTTGCTTTTTATACTTCGTGACAGACGCCCAGATTACAAGACCCTACTTATCAATGTAATAACACATTCGTATGGGTCCAATATATTGGGCGATATCAGTAAGGTAGACAAGAGCTGATAAGTTTAATAGGTGTGTGCACATTACATGCGAATTGGGTTAAGGTATAAAATTGATTGAGAGATGCTATCTATACAACTCTACGTATATATACATGTACATATATAAAGCATTACAGAAGACGAAATGTTAAATACTTTCTTTGGTGTTATAAAGATATATATTAATTGTTTTATTATAATTATTCATGTAGTGGTCATCCACAAACCTGATCCTAAATACGTCGCTAGCAGTCCTTTTCTGATTACTCAAAAGACCTAACACATTGAATCATATTATTTATATCGTGATTTTAAACACGGCACAAACATGTTTATGTCTCTTCTACGCAATTAACTGAGAGTATAACTTACGTGTGTGAACTATTATTACGTTTTATTTATATGACGTTCTCTAATATTTGTTATATAAATATGTAAAATATACTTGTTTATACAAATTATTAAAAACTGTATTGTATTGAAAACTGTTTTGGAAGTTCTCTGCCATTTATTTTATACTTTAACTCGCACGTTAGGTTTTTTAAGTAATTTTTTAAATCGGAATAGATTTGAATTTGAATGATATTTATTTGCTCTTATTGAAAGTATTTCAATAGTGTATCATTATATAACTGTTGTTATTGTTCTTATAATAATATAATGTTAAAGTAATAATATATTTTATGTGTACAGTTTTCCCATTTATAACATCATGATGCCTCATTTCCATTGATGGCTTTGTTGTGATATTAAATTTTCCACGTATATTGTAATACGTAACCTAAATCGCTTCTTTTTTATCAACGATTTTCCATAAAACAGAATTATAACAAGAATGTATTCTTACAATAAATTTAAAACTATTTTATATATAAATGATAATTTCATTGAAATAAATTATATTAATTGGAGTGATTAAAATTGAGCTTTGCCCAATTGGTTTGTTACAACGAATTCTGACTGTTTTTATGTGTATTTAATATATACATATATATATTGTATCCCACAATTTTTATATAAAATCTATACAAGTAATTGAACAAATTAATAATAACTATTGAAGTAGGTCATTAAATGCGTTGAAGAAATTTGTAATAAACAAACTTAATATTATCGCTTACGGAAATTTTAATTGGATCATGACACATGTACAGGAATATGGAGAAGGAAAAATATTTATTAATGGAATTAATGTTATTTATATACTAACACCTAACTGATAGGAACACCTACAAATATGCAGGGAAAAACATGTAAGGAATAATTACTAGCACTAAATAGTAATATTTGATGATATTTTGGAAAGATCTAGTTAATAACTGATGTAGACGAAGTTAATTAAGATATAACATTTTGAATAAAAGCTTTAATTTTTGTTTCAATGTACTATTATAAATAAATATTATGTTTGTGGCGATGAGTCGTTCAAATAATACTCACAATTTTATTACTGTGAATGTGTTTCAAGAGTAGTGATACTAACTCGGAACACGAAAACTTTATCCATATTAAATACATAGAAAATTATATTGAATACATAGCGATAATGTAATAAGTCAGTATATAAGATGAAGCAATGTACCAAAAAAACTTATCTAGTTTTATTGGCAGTTAGATTTGAAGATTATGAGGGTATCTGCGGAGGCTGGTGACGGCAGCAGGGATGCCCGCCGGCGGACATAAAAGACGTCTGATTGCGCCTCTAGGTGTGACCCCGACCTCCGACCTTATCAATGATAATACTTGGACATCACATTGGACACTTTGATTGGATGACTCTTTATAATAACTTTTCTCCTGTATGTATAACATCTAGTATAGATAACTCAATAGAGTACTTGGAAGTGCTTAATGTTGAAATCAATGAATTTGTTTAATGAGATCTAAGATTTTCGCGATTACTCATTTAAATGAAAGTAATATTTTCTAACTAATATTTTTTTACCTTGATCACGGTTGCTGAAAAGTAGCCGAAACGTCGGGAGTACATATGTAGTTTGTAATCAAAAATAAAAAACGCGAAGTAAAATCCGAAAATATTAGTTTCATATCAATGAATTTGTTTATTATTTTAGTGTATAATGTAGTGGGATCAAATTTTTTTGTATAAGATCCTATTTTTTTTATATAAGTGACTTATGTCGTATTTATCTGTATTTTTGTAAGATTTGCTTCGAAAGTTTACTATTTTCTTGTGTTTGAGTGTTACACTTGCATCTAAACTTTTCCATTTATAATATCGTTACCTTCCAAGCAGTTCCCTCTATCAAGATGTCCCAGGTCCTCGCCCCGGGCGATTCCTCGATGTCTCCTGCTCGTCCTATCATAGTACAGACAGTTGAAGATGAATCTGTAACAAAGATTTCATGGCAGCGTCTCAATAATTCAGTAATCTCATTTGAATGAGAGTAACTTGGAGTCGAGGAGTTTCTATTGAAGGAACATTTCCGCTAATCTAATCACGGCTTTGTATCGCGTTTTTTATTCTCTAGATATTTTTAATATTCTTTCTCTTGAGTCCGCGCCGCGCGGCTCAAAGGCGGGCTCGAGTTATGAAATTGTTCGAGCGTTAATTGTAGACGTCCAGCGGCGAATATTAAAACGGCCTCGTGTGCGCTCAGCTTTATAGTTAACCTCGTACACGAGAGGACAAGTTTCAACATGGCCGGGAAAAATAATATTTAATTTGCGAAGTTGGACCCTAGATATCTTGCTTTGAATGTAATTACGCCCCGGCTTACTGTGTATTTTGTAACTTGATTCCGAACTCAGCTTTACAGACACTCGTTGAATTTTTATTTTTATTCAAATGACTGCTACATTTATAGGAACGTGTATATATGAAAAACAGAAGTTAAACTACTGTTTATATACATAGAACCAGTTTCATAGAGGAAAAATAACGAAAATGTTTTCGACTATTATACAGATATTGATTAAAAGGCTTCCATTCTACATCCACATAGTATTCAGCATCACCTGGCAGTCATCCCGCCAACGACATTATCCGCTTCATTAAGCTCTGATAAAAAACAAAGCGTTTCCTAATGGCTTTTCCGATTACCAATCACTAGAAAAAATTGTTGGAAGCCGTGTGACGTCACTCCGCCCACAGCCGCCGCTTACCATCACTTATAATTATATCACACGATGGATTTTAGTATTCATTTAACGTTACCTATAGTATTTACTTCATTAAAGTGAGGCAAATCATCGTATTAGGTTGTTTATTGTGTAAACTTGTTATATAGATTACTTATGATAAATGTCTTAATATGTTCTAAAGGTCCTGCATTCGATCCTGTATTAAAATGAATGAATAAAGCCTTCCAAGTTATCGCGTTCCCTAGGACCCGGCCGATATAACATTGAGACGTAAACTTCGAATCCGAAAGGTTCGGCAATAAAACAGGTCTGCGTACAGCGGCTCGTGGCCATTATTTCATTACTGGGCCCAATAAAACGAATTAAAACCTAATTAGAGACCGCGATTTTTGAACATTAAAAGAGGGAGGAATTAATTAGTGGAGGGCAATGATTCCGCTTCGGCGAGTAATGGAGGTTCCGAGCGTCTTAAACACGAACCGGGAAGACTGTACGACAAGATTTGGGACAGCTTACAGATATACAAGGCTTATGGCCAGAGAAAAACAAAAATATGATTATACTGTTAATAAAACTAATTAAACGATCACTCAGTAATGTATCAGTAACAAAATTAGAGCGAAAACATTATATATTATTCTTTTTCTATTCGATAACCGCTGTAAGTCACTAGTTTAAGTCACACTCGGTTGAAGTAAAAACCTCGGCCTGCGGTATTCTTAAGATCTTTGAGTTTCCATTGAGCCGGTGCTGAATTATTCTGTTTGTCCGAGTTCTCAAACATTTGCTTCTCTGACTTCATTGTTTAGTCTTAGCATCACCGCGTGTCTTATACTCAATTATTCATAACCTGCATTATATAACAAAGAATTAGTAGTCTTTAAGTAATCCCTACTAATATTATAAATGCGAAAATAACTCTGTCTGTCTGACTATTACGCTAAACTGATGAGTTGACCTTGAGAAAGAACATAGGATAGTTTTTATCCCAGACTTTTGAAAGGTTCTCATGGAAAAGCGACTAAACCGAACTCCACGCGGGCGAAGCTGCGAGCGGAAAGTTAGTCTTATATATAAAATTCTCGTGTCGCGATGTTAGAGAAAACTCCGAAACGGCTGGACCGATTTTGATGGAATTTTGTGAGCATATTGAGTAAGTCTGAGAATCGATCGACATCTATTTTTCATACCCCTATGTCATAAGGGTTTTTCACCCTTGTTTTACTTTTCTTTATTTTTGGATGAATTTTTTTTATAATGTAGCATTATAAAATACATGCAATCCAATTTTTTTATTTTTTTTATCACCAACCCCTATTATTTATATGGTAAAACAAAGTTTGCCGGGTCAGCTAGTATATTATATATACAGTAAATATGAAGCAATATATATAATTCTCCAAGTATAATCGCCCTCTTCCATAAACACCTTAATTCTTACTTAGGCCGGTCATTTGGAGCAAAACAAATTAACTGGAAGGTTCTATTTTCCTATAATTGTTGGCGGAACTTTGACAGCGGATAAAATGTCGCGAGATTTTTGCTAATTACGAGGAAATATCGACCCTACGGAGGGTTAGTGACTGTTATTAAGACGAAATTAAAATATTATTATTATTATTGTAAGGGATTGCTTCGGAAGGGGTTCACTTATTAAGGCTGTAATAACTTGAGAAATTATAAAATTATATTTGAGATCGTTGACGTTCCACTTTTTAGGGAATAAACAGGAAATTAGGTATTAAATTAATAGTAGAAGCCATCTTTTAGAAATTAAGGTGAAAGTAATGATTGTTGCCGGAACATTGCACATACATACGTATTAGGTATAAATACGCCTTCTTATCAGATGTAATCCTATATTATTTCTGTTGAATATTTTAATAAAATATTTAAATGAAACAAATGATTAAAAATGACGTCACAGCCTCAGGTGCAGCCGTGATTGATGATCATCATCACCCTCATCACCCTCATCACCCTCATCACCCTTTCGTAACTGTTCGTACCGGTCGGTCTTCATTCAACAATCAAAGTGCGCTAAATTAGTTTAGATATTTAAATTACAAGACGCGCCTGTGGCGATCGGCGCCTTCACACGTCACGACGACGACACGACCACGATAAAATGACGACCGATGATATTTGAACTCTAGGCACACAGATATTTTCATACAAGTTCAGCAAGTCAGTCATCTAGTTCTTTCCTAATCAACATATATCAATTACTGTGAAATTTCTTAAACTACTTTTCTATATAAAGTAGTTCTCTAGAACTAATGCACCTGGAAATATGATCCAGGTGTTCTCAAGTGAAGGTATATCAGTATCATCAGACGCCTTTTCCTTACAGTGAGGTTGCGATCCTGTCGTCATGTATAAATGTCTCTTCTGTTTATAAGAATTGATTCCTCGTTGTGAAAGTTGCCTTGTATTTGATCCTTATAATGTATAGTATGACTTTTTCTCTTTTGTTTAATGTCCAGTTTTTATTATTTCTCATTGATCCAAAGTGAGGTAAGTTTTTGGATAATTTCTTTAATGATTTTGTGTTCAATATATATCAGATATATACCAGGAACTTTAAAAATTAATTTTTTCACCGCTTTTTTACAGTTTTCACGAGATATAAGGCACATACAGTTCCGTTATAATGATTCATTAAGAGAACATAAAAAGCAGGAACAAAGTTTCCTTTGTTTGACGAGACAAAGGACTTTTGTCAGATATTCCTTAGTTGTCTGGAGAGGAAGAGATAGTGAGACCATGTAGACCTGGAAATGCTGGGAGTAACATTACCAGGTGACTTAGAAACAGCGATACAAATTCAATCTCTCCTATATTACTCTATATAATCTTGTATAATCTCATTGTGTGGGAATCGAAAAACTTTTCTCGTTTCCACACAATTATATCGTACAAAATCTTCTCCAAATATATATTCTAAACATTTCTGTATCTTGATCGGAGTGCAACCTTCAATGGTTTCTATAAAGACACGTCGAAGGATTGTTTTTAATTAATTTCATAATATCCGGAGGCGCGTCTTGACTTTATCGGTTTGAAGGAAGCAATTAGTATTTTATTATTTTATTATGATATCATTTTTGGAAGGGTTGAGGTCGAGGTGTGCCAGATGGGCCGCGGACGAGGAGAATTAAAATAGGAGAGAGGTGGAGGGAAGGTTTGATTTTTATTAAATTATACTTACATTAAGATTTTAGAGAGAAATGTTCGGTTGAAGAGAGAGTGGGAGATAAATTTAGAGATAAACGATTATTTTATTTTTATTACTCTAAATTTTTAAACCGAAAAATAATTTAATTACTCTATAAGTTACACTACCATTATTGTAAACAAGCTATCTCATATGTAAACATCTGTTTCTTATGTCTTATCATGAGTTATATTTCAATACCTACGAGCTACCTTCAAGGTGTGAGTGGGCGTGTCCAGGTACGCCTCACCTGCGCAGGTAGCCACGCCCTCCGACCGGTGGGCGTCACCTGTCGTAGACCCGGTACGTACATGCTACGGGTTACACCTGTTCGTATAGATTTATTACAAAAAATGTATATAAGGTAGGAAATTATTTGAAAAAAAATTATATTTATTATTAAGGAAGGTCGTTATAAATAAGATAGTGATGATTATAATAAAAACTAAAAGTATTCGTATCTGTTGTAGAGTCACTCTATATCCGACGAACTCTAGAGCTGTTCTCTACTAACGGACACTTAGACACGAATGAGGTATCACAGGCTGCATCTGCTCCACTGACCTTATTCATGGATTATATAAATACATATATACATATTATATATACACAAGCCTTCATACACACACACACACATACATAGATAATTTATATAATGATTGTATAAATATAAGTAGAGACAACAGTCGTCTCTACAATGTAAGTTAATAAAACGTTCTATTGTGATAGTACTGAACGCAGCGGAAAAAAATATAAACATGTGAAAAGTGAAGGGAAACAGAAATCCCTTACCGTATAGAAAATTATAGCCTTCGAGAGGCGGCAAAGGATGGTTCGAGGTTTTTTGAGAGAAGTTACACGGAAGAGGAGGATCTGGGGAAGGTTTTAGGAAGGGTTGACCTCAGATGACCTTTAACACACGGACCGATACAAACTCTACTTGTATATATAATATATGTAGAGTATACGGGTAATATAATATTGTTTTGTATGGAATGAAATGTAATATTGATTGGTATATATATGTTTAAATTTATCATCAGTTTGTGAAAGTATTGTTATCAATATCTAAAAGCTTGTAATTTTTTTTTATATAAAAATAAAATATATATAAATATTTGTATATTATTAATCATGATATATTATAGAGTACGGTCCACACTCTCTACCCTTCACCTCGCTTGTTTTTTGTCCGCTCTATCCGAACTCTACTTTACATAATTCGGGTCGATCTATTTGCGAACTCTTTGTTTTCGTCGCGTTTACAAGAACCTCTGTAACATGAACGAAGCCTATTCTGTAGAGTCATAGAACCGAACTTAGATGAGGCCGTATTGTTTTATTTTTATAAAGTTAATGGAAATTTCATACAATGTAAATCCTATTAATATTATAATTGCGAAAGTTTGTGAGTGTGTGTATGTTTGTTACTTCTTCACGCTCAAACGGCTGAACCGATTTCGATAAAATTTTGTATACAGGAAGCTGACGTCCAGGAATAACATATACTTAGGCTACTTTTCATTCCGAAAATCCCGAAAATCCGCGGGTAACACCGCGGGGCGCAGCTAGTGATCTATAAATGTAAAGTTCAAACTAGTCTTTCAAATTCTCTATATCAATATAATGTCTGTGTGTCTGTGTGTGTGTGTCTGTGTGTGTGTGTGTGTGTGTGTGTGTGTTAGTCCGGAGATGTGTTCGGAACAAACAGGCTGATGTACAATAAACACGTAACGAGCGTCGACAAACATCACTCCTACGATGTTTGTAGTCGGCCGACTGCGGTAATTGAAATTTTAATGGAAACAGGTGCCTTCACGTACGAGATACTACCTAATACGGGGAGACGACCAAATAACGTTACATATGTAGTGTGATAAGTTAAAAAACTTAGTATTAAGAACTAATTTTTAATATAATATATACAATTATTGTGTTTTATAAATATTTCTTTATATTTGTATATTCACATCTCTGTTTATCATTACCTCATCCCTCCTGATCTCTGAGCAAGCTCTCCGTTTATAATTGAATCAAACAACAATCTTTTATTTATTTGTAGTATGAAGCAGATCGTTCGCTTGTATCAGGACCGCTCGTAATTCCATCTCAATAAAACCTCAATGTTTGTTCTGTAGGTGGCGAATTTCAATCAAAGTGTTGAGACGGAGTAAAGAGACGTCTTATTGTGCAAAAACAGCCTCCGGCGACCTGACTGAGAGAGATGAGATAAGATGAGATGAGATGAGATGAGATGAGATGAGATTAGATTACAGCAGGTCTGAGGTGCTCACGGCACGTGGATTAGTTCGTTACTCACTGTTCCTTGTTTCTCGTTAACTTCACGGAATATTTCTCTTTGTGAGTCGTTTTTTCCACTCAACGCTTGCCTTTTATTTATTATAATTTTTATATTTGAACTAAATTTCTTTTTCATCAGTTGTAATATAACTTTTCATTCAATATTATTGTTATTTAAATAAAACTAATATTTTCTAAATTAAAATTTTATGTCGTCTTGCCCTGATAACAATTGCTGTAAAGGAACAAAAACGTTGAGAATATGTATTTTTATAGTAATAAAAAACAGGTAGTACATCTGAAAATTTTTGTTTCATTTAAATGAATACTCGCAAAAATTAAATCATCATTAATCTCTTGTTATATTATTAACATACGTATAGGCGGATCTCTCACGTTTTATTTGTTCTTTTTATTATATAAACTCATTCCAACCTCCCTCCTGTTCCAGGTAGCTCCGCGCCTCACCCTCACTCGTCACTGATCAATCCAAGAGCACATCCAGAATATAATTCAATTATAAATATTCATCTCCGCGCAATATAAATATTCATAAAAACGAAAAAACAAACGGCTCGTGTATCGTTACGTGTTACTGTATTAAATGAATATATAAATGAAACTTATACTAGTTTAAATGAAATGCTCGAGATGATACCGGATTTAATGTAACGAGCATCTAATTATTATTAACCGACTTACAAAAGGATAAGTTATGTTTTGTTGAGGGTTCATGTATTAAGGTAAGAGTAGTTTATTGTCGAATAGGTTCATTATTAATGTAAGAAAATAATCTTTGTACTATATTAACTTGTTATACATTACAAGTTACAGGTTTCTAAACAAACCCCCACTTTTACATTGCCTTGAATTTAAGATCGAAACATTTAAAAAACAAAATATTTTTCAAATAATAGAATTAATGGAAAAGATTTTTATGATACAATGAAAGTTTGTTTTCAATGTTTGAGGATTGCATCAATGAATCTTTCGTAAAACCACCTTTGAGTAGGTGATAGTAATGTTCTTTGTATGTACCTAATATATATATGTTTATATATATTAATGTACATGTGAACTTCAGTCTGTCGGTCGTCGAGGGCGCAATCAAAGTTCCCTCATTCATATGTATTGCAGCCACCAACTCTGTCTCTGCCCAGCCGACCTCTGGCCACCACTCCGTACAACTAGTCATTATTACAGCCGGCACACGTTTTACATGTATAATACAAATTAGTTCAAAACCGCTTTTATATGGCTCCAGTTAGGTTAGACATTACCATACTCATACTGTGTTGTATTAATGTATTATAAAGCAGAATATTCTTCATCATTGAACACTGTCTTCAGTAAGTTTGAGTTCCAAATACTGTTTACAAAGGATTCACTCCTAAATATTGTCACCTAATTGCGGTCACCGTCTTTAAGTTGTGATACCAATTAGTCAAATTGACGAAGCTAGTCTTTGATTTGACCCGAATACATTTGAATAAGTTACCTGACCGGTTCAATTATAACTAGTGATTCTGGCTAGGCTTATTATAAGTTATAGAATGTGTGACCAACTGATTGTGAAGCAGGTCTTGGTGGGCGGAGAGCGGCTCGATTTATCGCTGCTAGTAATTTATAAGCTCTCACTATTAATGGACAGTCTTACATACGTAACGTTATATATGACGCCTCACTGTTCCGTCACTCTTAGTCTCTTTGTGTACTGTTTTGTTAGTTTTTAATCGTCTCCGGTCTTGATACAGAACACGGCTTTCATTCATTAGATAGATTTGTGTTTGTGGTTGTAATTTGATGTTTCTTATATAATTGTAAGAATTATCATAATTTATGATTTCTATAAGCATGAGAACGTATTTGTTATATCTCCATGTTCCCGAGTACTCTCTCGTCTGTATAAGTGGTGGATGTGGTACGAGTATGTAAATGTGGTCACTAACATAATATTAGGATTTATTTAGACATTACTCATATTATATAAGAGATATAAAGAAACCTCCGAATGATTCCATTTAAGCGAGGGTCATCTTCTTAATAAGAAAACATGTTGTATCGTAGTTTTTTATTGTCTCCGTCTATTAACATGTGCCTCGTCCTCTCCGAGTATTATAAGTAAGGAAATATGAAATTCAAGAAACACGACTTGTACGGTCCGCGAAACAATAAGCTTTCTTTATAATAAATAAGAAAAAAATACATTTTACCTATTAATTAGATCTGTATTTGTAGATTTATATATAAGAAATAAGTTTATATAAAGTGATGTAGATCCGTCATTCAGATTGATGAAGAGTCCTTTCATCATCACAACATCTTTTATCCAATCCTAAACAAATTTTCCAATATGACTTTTTGGTCATATTTAATTCGTGAAAAATTTGAAAGCAAATGTTCAATCGAATTTAAAATCTTCTCCTTTATAAGTTCTATGTAAAATAATAAAAATAAAAGATAATTATAGCTATACCTTAATTAATTAGATTTTTCTATATCTTTATATTCTTAATAAAATAGTAAGTTAAATATATTTTTTATGTGGTCAGTATGCCAGTGAAGGTCTCGTGAAGTCCCCGGTACCTATCGAGACTGATGGTAGATAAGATCCATTCTATTAACATAGAGGACGCGGACCGCGGCCAAATACACAGCTCAGAGATGCATACCAGCGACACGCAGGCGACCCACCGGCCGACAGAAACATATTACATCACATACTATACATTTAATTGAAAATACTTATACATGAACATAAATTCTATGTCATAATAGGGGGAATGTACTAATAATATTGTGAAATTTTCAATTCTGTGAAACTTTATGAGAAGTGTAAAGCTTGATTTGAAATTTCAGTCGTCTTATGAAGCGCGATATTGGATGAAGGTAATTTAACATATTGTCAATAAAAATCTTCCCCGTTTCAATCAGACGCGTTCACTTCAATCAGGTGGGTCTATACAAGTGTAAGTACAAGTTCTCATGTATGAATGATACTTTGGAGCTCGGGCTATGAAACACGCGGTTGAAAAATTAATTAGAATCAATATATTAGCAAAAAGAATGTGATAAATAAAACATATGCTACATTAATTTTCGTTTCTTTTAGTAATCCATATATCATTTTTTTTAGTGTTCTTTGTGGGTACATATAAGAGATCTTGTGTATCGGCTTGTACCTGACCTGTATATATATTACAATAATCGTCAATATATCTCTCGGCCTGTCATTTCACTCTATATCGAATGTGTTTGTTGTCCGCTCGTTTGATCGCCCCCCTCCCCCTCCTCCCCCTACCTCCCCTCCGCTCCTCACAGCACACTCGTCACGCGCTCCTTCCTTCAATATTGTGTAAAGCAATTTGTATGTAAATCAATTGTTGTTAATACTATTTATGTGGATGGTTATTGTGAGATACTATTTACGAAGTTTTCACAGAACCGTCTGCTGATTTGATCCTTATTGTTATACAGTTTGAGGTGAAAGTGGCGTACGTTAGATGCGAGCTTTTAGGGCAGGTTCTCAAAAAACATAAGGTTAGGACGTGCCGCGGGGAATTGTTAAGATGCTAGTATTATGGCGGGTATAAATTTTATTATATTATAAATATGTATTTATGTGGTCGTTCGTGTCTCGGCTGATGGCTGATGTCACTGACATTAACTAATTTGATGGATACTCTCCCCGTTTTATATCTATGACGATTTCATTTGCAAGAAAACAATTAATATTTTAGGGTATATACATATTACTAGTGGTCAATTAGTGCTTCTTCTGCTAAACTTTCGATACAAACGATAACATAAGTTCTTAGTTATTTTAAACTTCATGGTGACACTACAATTACCTAAATTTGAAGTAACAATCATTATTGACACGTCTCTCAACACCCTGTATGTATTTGTATAATACGATTTAAATATTTCCAGTGAGATGTATTCTGTGAGTGAAGTTTGCGGACGTCAGTCGGTGTAGTAAGTAAATAGCACTACAAATCACAGCGATCCGATCAACCCATGCGTTATTTATGTCCGTTGACATGCACAATGAACCACTAATTAATGGAAGCGGCATTCTACTTAATAAACTGTAAGAAAGTTTCACTTCATACTAGACTCAATTAACAATATTGTGTCGTAGATTTTGGCAAATTTTGAATCTTTATATATTTGAAATTAATTTGAATTTGTTGTTATTTCTTTGTTAAAAAATATTGTATTTAAGAAATTCTTGCTTATACGAATCTTACACAATTTATTCTTTCCAAAAGGTTGAAGGAACACACCTCTGCCTGGTTCTAAGTAGTCGCTTCAACTGTTGACATCTTATAAGACAAGTTTCCATTGTATAAGTGTTCAGAATTTTGAATGTATGTGTGTCATAGAATATAAATCGTCAAAGTTTGGAATGACTTAAATAAAATCCAGGATAAATACATAAAAAATAGGTTGGATATGTTATAATATGATGGAAGAAGAACAAATACATCATCTCCGCTGAGTTTTAAAGTAATAAATCTGGTATAATAACTTAAATATATTAAATACAATATACCGCATCCATATTTTATTGCTCGTGGGTCAAGGCTAAGTTGTACAGCCGCTATCTGACGCGGTATCGCGGTGGCATCCCATACATGTGATACAACCTTTAATTAGCTACAGTTTTGGATTATTTACGACCACCATATTATTTGGAGAATTTTCTTTCATAGTTATAATTTCTAACAATTATATGTAATATTTCAGAATGTTCTAAAATTACGCGTTAGTTCTTAATATTTAGTTAGTTTTGTTGTTTTCGAGTACAGCTTTTTCTATTATAATGATTATATTTCATTAATATTCCCAATGTTTTATTTTAATTTATAATGTATGTTATATTCATTTATATAAAGTAATAAATCGTCGTGTGTGTCGTACACTGGAACCTGCCTCCGATCCTAATTTATGTATTCTCATTGTCTCTGAAACCGAACATTTCTAATATATTGAATCTTAAAATAATCCTTTTAATATAAAGATTTTAATATTAATACAATTATCGTATTTATTTCAGTGCATAAAGTTTTATATAAAATCCAAGTGGTATAGGAACATGTAAAATGCGATGTATACGATGTGGTCTTGGCTGCATGAAAACTTGGAGCGTGTTCAGTGTTAGTGTGTATGTATGTATTGTTGAACGAAACATACGAATATTGAGACTTACCAGCTCTAGTGACCACGGCTCGCGGTGGACTTGTCTATTGTATTACTTTCTAATAAAATATATTATCTAAATAGAAAAGTATTTTATATAATCTTTATATAATCACCTGCTGATGTCTCATAAAAGATAATTCTTTTAAGTGTTTTGAATTTATATGTATTAAAATTTAATGATGTTTATTTACCTATAGTTACAGTATTTCTGTGCTAAAATAAGAAACGACTTTATTCTTATTTATTAATGAAGATCATAATTAAAATAGGAAAAATATAATATTTAAATGATTTCTGAAATAATATACATAAGTTATGTCATATATATGTTTCTCACAATATCTACTGCTGACAATACTCTCACTTCAACGATACATAGTAAACCCATGTGGGCTTCAATAAAAATAATCTATAAAACGTTCCAATCCTTCGCTGTACGTATTTGTTTTTTTAATAAGGGCTCCAAGTATTTATAAAGGCGAGCTTTACAACTTTCTTTTAATATAATCAGAGCGTCGATGTCCGTGTCGTGGCCCGCCTCTCTCGGTACTCGGGGACCGCAGTAAAGGCAAGTCGTTTATAGTCGGTTTCAATCCGTCCTTCGTAAACAAACTGTTAGCGTTTTACTCCCGATCGTAAAACGACACCGAATCAGCGGTTTGGAGACAGTGAAGGCTCGTATCGATATTTAACGCACTAAATAAATACAAATATATTATGTTGATTCAATGTATTATTCAAATTATATTCCAATTATTATACAACATATATTATAGTCTTCAGAAGTGTATGTACATCAAAGCATTCTAATAAGGAATGATCCTCAAGTCCTCATCCCTCCTGCGACAGATATTTGCATTTCATTTGCCGCGGGCTGTCCTTTACCAGCCATCTTTATATCCTTCAGGTAATAACGTCTTTCATGGACACGACTTGCAATATTATTGTACAATATATCCCTACAATTGTGGACCTTATCTTGA